TTTGCTTACTATGTACATTGGTTAGATATCCCCATGAAGTCACCTCCACCCCGAGACGTTTCCACCTTCAATTTCGGGGTGTGACACGCACCCTATATAAAGGTGGGTTGCGAGCCTTTCCGACTACTTTTGGAAATTTAACATTTTTCACCCCTAAACTTATATTTTGACTATTTTGACTTCCCCCGAAGCCCCTGTATCATTTTTAAAGCCCGGAATACGTCCCGAAGTGCCAGAAAACCCGGAAAATTTTATCTTTTTGGTTTTGAAGCTCCAACTCTCGCAGAGCCCGGTTTCTCAATAAAACTCCCGATTTTATCAGAAACGATCATTCTAAGGAACGAATTGCTGTCCGATTATCATCAAATCAAGTGAGTGTATAGTCACTTTCATCTTACACATAGATATGAAGTATTTTCTATAAAATACGTGTTATGTGTAATTATATTGATTGTTTATTTGAGATGATTGTTGAATACAATGTTTTATACAAGTTATAAACTGTATATGTATTTTATCTACAAATATGTTGGATAGAACATGAGTAGACAAAATAGTTGATGTGTTTTAAAATGATGAGAGACCTCGATGTTGTTGTTGTTCCAGTCATCTACCGGAGTATGGATGACGACCACGGACTCTTCTAGACAGTCCAGTGGAACGCTAGCAGGCTCGCAACCTGTAGGTGTTGTGAACGATGTGTTCACCGGTGTACTCCATCCACCTCATGGTTTCCTTTAGGACATTTATTGTTGAGGAACCCCCTTAGCAGTAGTGTCCATCCCGATGATAAAATCCTTAGACTAGGCATGTATAGGTGTTTAGGGACGTAAAGTGAGGATAACGGGAATGAGTAATCAGGGTTATTGTTGGTTGATGAAATTAATAAATTTATTGTTGATCGATGAAATTAATTATTATTTGTGGGTTGAAAACCCTATATGCTCACCAGGCTCCCAAGCCTAACCCACTCAGCTTTCTGTTTTACAGTCGTGGACTCAGAGCATAATTATGATGATGATGAGGGACTTTTGGATTATAGGCCATTAGTTGTAAATAACTGTTGTAAGGCTTATAGTGTATTGTTTATACTTATGTACTGTATCGAACATGACATCCTGAGTCTTTTAATGAAATACATTTCTAAGGAAATGCTTTTGATAAACCTTTATCATATTATTGTTTTGGGACAAATTCCGCAATTTCTTTATTAAAAGGTTACTCTAATTTTGAAATAAAGTATAATCAAAACCGGTCTTTTCTGGCCGTGAAATTGGGGATGTCACAACCACTTTGTATTCTCAAGCCCCTAAAAAAACCTCCCCCTTCACCATAAAAAAACTTAAGAACTTTCACCCATAAGGCGTTAGGCTCATTAAAGAATCTCCATTTTCATTTATATAAAAGACCTAGGTTAAAAGCATCTAAACTACCAATACCCATACCACCCTAGTCAAAAGAGTTTAACGCCAAATCCCACTTAACCCAATGAATACGTTTTTGACCCTCTTCAATTCCCCAAAAAAATCGAGCCCTCATATTCTCCAAAGCCTGCAAGATAGTAACAAAAGGCCTAAAAATAGATAAGTAATAAATACCAAGGCTACCCAGAACTGACTTAACAAGAGTTAAACGACCTCCAATAGAAAACAATCTAGCTTTCCAAGATCCCGAACTTTTTTTGAAACGATCTATAATTATTTTCCAACCTTTAACACACACCATTTATTCGCCAACCGGAACACCAAGACACACAAATGGAAAAGAACCAGCCGAGAAGCCTTTAAAAGAAGCGAGGTTGGAGATTTCAGATCTACTAACCCCCATACCATATAGACTAGAATTAGAATGTTTGAGATTTAGACTCGAGACTAAATAAAAACATCTCAACACCCGAATCAGATTTTGGACATTATTCTCATTCCATTCTCCAAGGAAAATAGCATCATCTGCTTAAAACAAATGACATATAGCTAAATCATGTGACTTAAGTTGGGCCCCCCTAAACACACCTTCCGACACCGCATCCTCCATAGCAATATGAAGACCCTCCATAGCAATAATGAAGAGAAAAGACGACAATGGGTCATCTTGTCTCAGCCCTCTAAACAACTGAAACTCATCTGTAGGGCAGTAGAAAACATCCCCCTAATCCAAGCCCTCCATTTTTCCCCAAAACCAAGAAACAACATAATCCTATCAATATAATCCTAATTGACTAAGTCGTATGCTTTTTCAAATTAGACTTTAAAAATAATCAATTTCTTCTTCTTGAGTTTGAACCACCGAACCATTTCATTCACAAGAAGACGACCATCAAGAATTTTCCTGGATTTGAGAAAAGCAGATTGCTCCAACCCAATAACATCATGCAAGACCGGAACTAACCTATTAGCCAACAATTTAGCAATAATCTTAAACTGCAAGCCAATGAGACTAATAGGCTGATAATCGTTGATACGAATAGGATTGTCAATCTTAGGAATCAATGTAATAAAAGAAGAATTAAACCCAATGGGAAACCTAGGATTGACACTAAATTCCTGCACAAAAGCCACTTCATCATCACACAAAAACTCCCAAATGTCTAAGAAACTGGAAAGAGAATCCATCCGGACCCGGAGCCTGGTCCACCCCACAATCCCAGACCACCCTCTTGATCTCTTCAGTAGAAAACACATACTCAAGTGAATTAGTCGTGTCCGGGTCAAGAGATATGAATCTATGACTCTTACAACCCATCGGAACTCCCTTAAATGTTTGGAATTTAGAAGCGTAAAAATCATAAAAGGATTTTTTAACAAGAGGGGAATCCGCAACCCACTCCCCATCAATAGATATGCCTCTAATAAGTCTCTGACGGCTTTTCTGCTTCATCATGGCATGAAAAAAAGATGAGTTCTCGTCCCCCCTCAATAGCCCATTTAAATCGAGCTTTTGGGGCTTAGTCAAGAGATCGAAACTTTTCCAAGGAAGACAACTCACCAAGAATAGCCCTTCTCTCACAAGTCAAATCATCACTCGAACCACCATCATCGGAGATCTTATCAATATCAACTAATCTAGATAATAGACGGTAACTAGAAACTCTAGATTCCTCCTTATAACCCGCAACCCATTTTTATCCGGTCTTTCAAGAATTTAAGTTTACTTTTTAACACAACAAACTTACTCCAAGACCTGTCAACCACAAACTCCTTGATTGATAGCATCTTTCACCATATCATTAAATCCATCAAACTCTAACCAAGAGTTGAAGAATTTAAAAGATGAAGGACCATAATCCACCAAAGACGAATGCAAGAAAATAGGGCAATGATAATACCACCTTCTATCAAGAACCGAAACTTGAAGATTTTCAAATCTATCATAAAAAGCTTCATCCACCAGAAACCTATCCGGCTTACTTAACTTGGAACCAATAGCATCAATTCTAGTAAACCGTTTCCCAATCATAGGCACATCAATGAGACCCATATCATCAATAAAATCATTAAAATCAGAAGCCGAACTAGAACAAAAAACCGACCCCATTCTATCAGACACCTCCCTCATAACATTAAAGTCTCCAAAAAACACTTAATTCCCCCCATTCCTCCTTTTAAAATCCATAAGATATTGCCACAGGTCAAATTTCTCCCGGATACCTTGAGGAGCATAGATATTAACCATGTAACAAGGAAAACTAAAAGGAACAACTCCTCCAACAATAACCACATTATCCGTACAATGAACACTGCCTTTCACAAACATATTAGGGTCCCAATCAGAAAGAATACCCCCTGAAAGACCCTGAGCACAACTATACACAAAATCAAAACAAGGATTACCCCACATACTCCTAACTTAGAACAAGTCAATTTTTGTCATTCTAGTCTCTTGCAACCCTAGAAATGACACCCCATTCTGGATACCCAACTTATTTTAAAAGAAGTTTGAGTACCACAAATATTCAAAGATAGACAATTCATCTATCCACTTATACCACACCAATGCTAGACAATATTTTAGAAACCTTATCCTTATGAGATTTCATATCATACCCAAGAAAATCACCCATTTCAAAATATTGTTTAAATACATCCTCAATATCTTCTACACCCACCGGAAATTTTTTCTTTAGCAACTTAGATGAACCATGTGAACCAGAGGATTTCGATGCCGAGGCATTAAGATTAAAATTCTCGTGTAACTTCTCACGCTGGAACCATGGAGATTGAGATAAAGATTCTGAGGCCCCACCCCCCACTACTCCACCCTGACGGATTTTCTCATCAGCCAGTGAAGAATCCCTCTCGGGCCTAGTCGGCGACTTCACCGATGCATCAATCGAGATCGATTTGACCCACTCATCATCTTCAAAGCATCTATCCACCTTCTTCTTCCTTCCACTAATTTAAATAAACGACATTTTCTATCTACAAAACCAGCTCCTCGATCATCGAAATTTGGAGTGTTATCTATATTGAGAGAATTTGTTACCTCCTCATTACCGTTACCCTCCTGACAATATTTTTGTATATCACACGTATCTTCACCAAAAAAATCCTTGGGTTCCTCTTTATCTGACAACTCTGTAATATCCAAGCCCACCTCCCCCTCTTCCAATATATCTGGTTCCCAATTGTAAATTTCACGAACTTCCACATCATACTCAATACCTTGGGCAACCACTTTAACCGTCTCATGAATAAAATCCAGCTTAGAAGTCTTAATACACTCCCTCTTGATTGCCAATGGAGCATCCCCATCATCATGTAGAAAACATACATCACCCCACATGCTAGCCACCTTAGAAACGACATCATCATTCCATGCACAACAAGGCAACCCAATCATCTCAATCCACACAACTCTTTCCTTAACAAAAAAAAAAACCCATTTATAACATGCCTAAACAAAGAAAAATAGGCCTTAATACCATTACATTTCTTGAACCTGGCGCAAACTTCTTCAGAAAAAAATGTCAAATATACCCAATCACTAGCAACATACTTTACTTAAAGATCATTAAAGCCTTCTTCTTTCAATAAAACAAACAAATTTTGAATCAATCTAATATCCCCGAGTTTCGCAAACACTGAAGCCTTTAAGGATAGATTATTGCATATTTCCTTCCCAGAGAAAGTACAAACAGTAAATTTAGGCTCTTTCAGCCTATGCATGCCTTTCCCCCCCTTAACCACAGTTGCATAGGATTCTTGCCCTTGCCTATTAATTTTCGACACCACCTGATCACCATGTACATGTGAATCAGACCGCCTCTTACGATCAGATTCTCGCTGAAAACGAGCTACTGAAGCAAACAGGTGGTATGAACCCAACCAAATTTCTCTAATCTTTCTTTCCAATAATTTCTCATCTGAAACTTTAATAAAACGAACAAAGGCAAAACGTTTACCTAATTTGGATAGCTTCTTAGCAATGTAAACATCCGCCATAGTCCCCACCTTCGCACATGCATCCCATAATTCCTTCACTCCGAGATCAACAGGGAAATTCGTCACATAAAACGGGGAAGAAAACTTTTTAATCAGTTTCGGATTACCAACCTGAGTGCGAGATCAACTTGTAGGCCCAATCCCAACCATCAAACTCGCCAAAAGAAATCACAGAAGAAGAAAACTCCGACGTTCGATCCCGTTGGAGAATGAAGAAGACGCCGACAAAAGAGTCCCTAAATCGCCGGACCTTTGGGAAAAAGAATCGTATCAATATAGTATTTTTACACATTGACCATATATTATATGATTAATATATTAATTGGAAATAGATAGTTGATTTGTTACTCTATTATGTGATTAATAAATTAATATGAGATCAATTGTTAAATAATTGATATGTAATTTATATGATTAATAAATTAATATGAAATCAATAAGAATTAATTAATTATTAAACATAATTAATCTTGAATAAATGCAGGATTAATTGGAATTAATTAAATGTGCAAGATTTGAATTGTGATTTTTTGTAGTTGAGCAAGGAAAGGCAATTCTAAATGGTTCAATATCATGGACGGTTTTTGTAATGCCCTGTTCTGAATCAATTCCTAATCTGAGGATGTGGCTCGAAGGTCGGTCATTATAAAGGATTATGGCTTTTGAGAAGGTAAGATCTAGGCCCATTTGGTGCGGGTGATGTATTAGAAGTGATTCGGGTGTTCGACTCGTGTTTTGGATCCTAGGGGTATTTTGGTAAAGTGACAGTTTAGGCTTTTGTGGAAAATGAATTTTTATTTGGAAGGTTTTAATAAAGTTATGAGTTAATAGAAGTGTAGGGCTTCTCGTTATCTTTCCGTGGATATAAGGATCGCCAGAATCGGGCTTAGAACGAAGAAGTTATGGTCTTCGGAAGTTTCGTGGTTTTCAGGCTTAGTCGACTACATGGGACGTACACAAAGAGTACACGGGCGTACTAGTGAAAAAGGCAGTACGCGGGGCGTACCTTGGAGTACGTTGAGTGTACTGACCAGGATGGTTGCAAATGTTCTTTGGAGTACGCTGGGTGTACCAAAAGTACGTTGGGCATACGCCAGTCAGATCAGAACCCTATTTTAGGGTCTTGGACCATATTTAAGCTCCTTATCTCATAACCTAACCTTAATATCTTCAACCTCCATACCTCTAAACCTTAAAAATCGACCCTTATCCCTCATTTGAGTGATTTTGGAGCTTGGATGGCCATTAGAGGAGTATTTTGGTGTTTTTGAAGAAGGTGTTAATTCATGAAGACTTATAGAAGAAGATAGAGCTTTTAGATCCAGAATTACACCAGCTTTTGGCTCTCATCTGAGGTATAAAGTATTAAACTTGGTGGTTATTTCCTTAGATCTCTTATGTTGAGTTTTGGACCTTTTTGGTCCCAAAGATGAAGCTTTATGGTTCAAATTTGATTCTTAGGCACAGGGTTGCCACCCTTGGTGCTATTTGAGTCCCTAAGGCAGAAAGTTGCCATATTGGAGGTCTTAATGGGTTCATGCAAGAGTTATGGTCATTTTCATGGAAGTAGATTGCTACACTTTGAGTTTGGGTTCATGTGGGTTATATAAGTCACCAAGTCAGTGACTTAATGGATTAAGACATTAAGTAGAGCTTAGATCTGTAATTTGTCCCCTTGGTTTGAAACATTAAGTGCTTAATAGCAAAAAGGACTTAATAGAGGAGTACGTTGGGCGTATAAGCTAGTACGCACAGCGTACAAGCCATGAACCTAGTACGCACTACGTACGACTGAGTACGCCCTGCGTACTCAGTCAGAATGGGTTTTGCTTATTGGGCTTCGGTGTAGGCCAATTGTTGGGCTTGTTTATATTGGGCCCGTTGGGCCATCAGGTTGTGGGTTGTTAGTGATGTGGGGAAAAGGACTCAGAAGGATTTGGGCCTAATTTGGAAACTTGGGCCTTGGTTCGGGCCACAAGTGTTTTTTTTAGCATTTTGGGCTTAAGTGTTTGGATTATTATTGGACCATCGGGATGCTAAGTGTGTTGGACTGAAAAGAAGGATTTGGGCCTCATGGCAAGACCCAAGTAGAGGTTTGGGCCCAATTTGCAAAATTGGGTCATTGATGGATTTATGGATATTATAGTGTTGGGCTTTTGTTTTGGGGTTGGGCCCTAGTTTTAGATTATACTAAGTTAGGGGTAGAATGGTCATTTTACCCCATGCATGGATTAAGGATTATGGTATGGGACTCAATTGCTAATTGGGTATATTGATAGGTATTGATAGCTCAGGAAGTGGACATGGCAGCAACTAAGGATTTCTTTCAGGAAGCTTCTGCATTCGAGGTAAGTCTTCTCACCATACCAATGGGTCTAAAGCACCAAGGCCGACCCATTTTATGTTAGATTATTATGTATGTTATTGCATGGAAGATCTCGGGGGAACCTGTGGTAATTAGATATAAGACCATGTGGAGTAGCCCATAACACAATGGTATAAGACCCTGGGGGAGCCCACAACATCCTTATAGGTTTATGTTTGTGTTATGTGTAGATAATTTTGTGATATATGATATGTTATGTGATTATGTATGTTATTGCATGGAAGACCCCGGGGGAACCCGTGGCAATTGGATATAAGACCATGTGGGGTAGCCCATGACATTCCCAGGTTAAGACCATGTGGGGTGGCCCATGGCACAATAGTATAAGACCCTGGGGGTGCCCACGACATCCTTACAGGTTTATGTATGCATGGCTTATGTGGTATGTGTAGCTTTATAGCTAATCTGATATGTGTTTATGTGGATTGTGTGCGGGGTATGTTATGGGGAACTCACTAAGCATTAGCTTACAGGTTGTGGATTTGTTTCAGGTACATTGGATCCCAAGGGCAAGCACAATACGTGATGGTACGGCGTGCATGCTCACACAGGCATTTTATGGACACTCTGATATTTTAAATAAAAGATGTAATTGATATGAGTTTAAAAACAGTTATATATGAGATTTTGTATTTCATGGAAATGTGTTTGGTTAATCAAAAATGAAAATTTTCCTCTGAAAAATCGGGTCGTTACGGTTTTTATACACGAAATTCTCTTGCTCATCCCCTCTCCTCTGTTGTCTTCTAGTTTTGGGGTTTGAGTGTGAGCCATTAGATGCATCATCCTTTTGGTGCTAAGCTTTCCAAAATGAACAACTACAAGGGATTGAAGTGATTTGCTTACTACACAAATCAAAAGGTAGGTAACCCTAACTTGGTGTTTTAATTATATTAGGGTTCATGTTAGTTCTGTTGTTCAGAGTATGTTGTCTTTAAAGTGTTATGATATAGATCATTTAGGTTGCATGTGCCCTTAAGTGTTAAGTGAAATTCCGCAAACACATTGGTTTTGTAACATATAAAACCCATAAAAAACAATACTAAACTATGATCATTTAGTCTTTGCTTCACTTCGGAAAGTCCACCAGCTCGGATAACTTCAGTATCTCAGATCACTCCACTCTACACTTCATCGAAAAAACAATTATCTTGGAACTTGGAAATTCGAATTGCCAAATGATCACTTGTTTTGAACTAACAATAACTTTATTGCTTTAACTATTAGTTTCCATCATCGGTTATCCGATCGTTATCTGCCTTGCTCCCCAAGTCACGTAGTATAGACAATTAAAAACTTGACCGCTGACATTTGAACCTGCCGAAACCCTAATTTATGTTGAGAGCTTTTAGATCAACTTCTAAAAAAAGTTGTCTAAATGATTTGCTAATTCATCTTATTTCAATTTTTTATTAAGTTAACACATATCAACCTAAAGTCATATTTTTAGTTACCATATGCATTTACCAAGCCGCTCTATTTTGTCCGGTTTGTCAAATTTGTGTTCTAACAAAGAGTTGTCTAAAATGATTTGCTAACTCATCTTATTTCAAATTTTATTAAGTTAAACACATATCAACCCAAAATCATATTTTTAGTTACCATTTACCAAGACATTCTATTAATCCATTTTGTCAAATTTGTGTTCTAACAAAAAGTTATCTAAAATGATTTGCTAACTCATCTTATTTCAAAATTTTTATTAAGTTAACACATATCAACCCAAAGTCATATTTTTAGTTACCATTCACCAAGCCGCTCTATTTGTCCATTTTGTCAAATTTGTTTTCTAACAAATACTATATATTTAATTATAAAATTTAAAAAAAAAAAAAAAAAAAAAAAAAAAAAAAAAAAAAAAAAAAAAAAAAAAAACCCTACAATTTTATCTCTATTCAACTAAAGTTGGTTGCCCATTTGAGATTTGAGCATATATGAAAAGGTTCCCATTTGCACCCCAAATTGATGGAGGTAGGTCCTACATAGTAACAAAGGAAAAACATAAAGTTATTGCTTGCTACAAACACAAACTAATGTGTGGTGTATCCCATTAAGTTATAGTGCACGGCTCTTTTATGAGGCTTCCGACATGCACCTACCCTTTATGGCTAATTTTGTGATTACGAACCAACAATCCCCCGACACACATATATTGTCCCTCCCTCGACCCAAGTTGCCCTTGTAACTTGACCATGATGTGAAAGCGTTGTTTGTATTGTATATAGCACATTAGCACCTCCTTTTTTAGTAATCTTAGTTATATATATATATATATATATATATATATATATATATATATATATATATATATATATATATATATATATATATATATATATATATATATTAGTTACATTATGTTTAATATCAAAGTTTTAACAAACACGCCAAAAATAAGATCATCCTTTATAAGCCCTCTCGATCTCCGAAGACCTTTTTTTTTCTCTACACTTCCATCCTATGTGAAGTCTCCTATGGAAATTAATATTAAATCCAAAAAAAAAAAAAAAAAAAGAAAGAAAAACATAAGTTGCTTCAAATAATATAAAAAAAACTCCAAAATGAAGTTGGAGAAAGTAGAGCAAAAAACACAGATATATTGTCCCCTCCCTCC